TCAACAATGTCTTCTTTCTTCTTCTTCTTTTCTTCATAAGCTTGTAATGATCCAAGAAGTTGCTCCATCTCCATAGTCTCCAAGTCTTTTGTCTCTTCAATTACGGTGACAATGTGCTCAAATTTTGAATCCAACGATCTCAGAACTTTCTCCATGATTCTCACCTCATCTAACTTCTCACCATTTCTCTTTAGGTTATTAGTAACCGTCAAGACTCTTGAAAAATAATCTGAGATGAGTTCTCCTTCCTTCATTTGTAACGCTTCAAATTCTCCTCTAAGAGTTTGAAGACGAACCTTCTTCACTTGTTCCGCTCCTTTGTAAGACATCTGAAGCTTCTCCCATGCTTCTTTGGACGTCTTTGCACCAGCAACCTTCTCAAATGTATCTTCATCTAATCCTTGATAGATTAGACAGAGAGCCTTCTTGTCTCTCTTCCTTGAATCTCTCAAACTATCCTTTTGAGTTTGAGATAAACCACCATCATTCTCCGTTTCAAGAAAACCTTTCTCTACTACCTCCCACACATCATGTGCACCTAGGATCGCCATCATCCTTAAACTCCAATTATCATAGTTGATCTTCGTCAGGACCGGAACTTGGAAGGGAACACCACTATTTGCCATCACCGTAGCTCTGATACCACTTTGTTGGGTATATTAGCGGGATAACGTTTCTTGTAGCGGATAAGTTGGAAATTGGACTGCTACTATAAAAGTTAGCCTCCGTATTTAGANTTTTGCTTGTTGTGTGATGCTTTTACAAGTGAGCCAAGCATCCCTATTTATACTACTTGAGCTATCTCTAGATCCTTCTCTTAGTCTTATCCATAATTTCTTCTACACACTTCTTCTTCTTGGGCTTCTTGGGCTTCTTGACTTTTGCTTTGAATCTTGGACAATTGGGAGAGCCCAAACCAAAGTTTATAATTCAACAAAGTGATCTATTTTTTTAATCCGTCGTTAAGCAAATCAATCAAAGCCTCCATTTCGTGTTTCTTGAGCGAGAAGCCAATCTCCACTCCACCATTCCCATCTCTACCCTCTGCCATAGATATCGCTTCGCCTTGCTCGATCGACGCAACTAAAATTCTCTCTGGTCTACCCCACCCGAAATCCAACCCGTACACTCCAAACCGGGTCGACCCAGCAACAGACACAACCTGCGACCCTGGTGGAAGAATGGGAAACGAAGCCAAAATGTCCGGAAGCTTCAACGCAACAGTACCATCCAACTCCTCCACCAAATCGCTAACATCGCTCGCAGCAGCCAAGAACCCTTCTTCACCCATAAACGTCTCCGCAGTTAACTCCATTTTAAACGTAGCCGAAACGCAGTTCCCGAAGTAACTCGACGGGACCGGCGGATCAAGCAGGCTTCGACAATCCACCGCGAAGCCATACCCGATTGGTCTACTCGGGTCACCGCCCCGAGCTCTGATTAAATATGTTAACGCATACGAATACGTAACCACAAACGTCGACAGCCGAAGCTCCTTTGGTGATTCTCTCTTGAGTCGTTCACGAAGCATTTGGATATCTTCACGAGTGAGGTTGAGAGTGAAACGGACGACGTCGGGACTAATCTCCGGCGACGGAAGAAGTTTCAAGCTCTTGGGGTTGTCTGGTTCTTTACCGCCGGAGAACATTTTGAGTAGAGAGTACCACTCGTTCAAAATCTTTGCTTCGATATTGTTTGGGATTTTTAATGACCGTACGATCGTAAAGAGGAAGTAGATCCTGTGGTGAGGAAGTGTTTGCCGTTTGGTCGTGTTGGCGTTTGCATGTGTCTCCCATAATTTAAGAAACATGGTTGCCGTTTTCCCATCCAGAACGCCATGGTGTGCGGTAACGCCGACGCAAAACCCTTGGTTTGGAAATAGCATCGCTTGAAACGACACGGCGGAGGCTGAGTCGTCGGTGACTTGTAACTCGGGCACCAAAGGGTGCAACTCGGCGGTGGGGAACGGTTTGTTTCCGGCTAAACGGGAGATATCAGCGTTGGACTCGGCGACCTCCATCGCAACCACTTTGTTCATAGTAGAGATTGAAATCAAAGAATAAAGATCGAGATTTCGAGATCGAGGTCAAAAAAACAACCTTTCATGAAGCAGATTGGCTCTGAAATCACGAAATCTATGGGAGCAACACGCTTTCCGACTACGGAGATACGATATCGCAATTCCAAGATCGATAACCAGAGATGAAGAAGAAGACAGGGAGTAGTAGGGTTTGTTCTCGAAAGGGGAAGAACGGGAGAAGAAAGAGATAAGGTTTGTCGGTGTGTTCTGTTTTTCTTTTTTAATTTAATCTCTGTTCTTTTATTTGTGAGTGTAAAAAGTCATAAAAGAAATAGTTAGAGATGTAAGAAAAGAAGAAGATTCACGATTTAGTTAATAAGGGTATGTTAGTAATTTTGATAGTAGAGAGTAAGAAGAAAGTGTGCTCTAAACACTATGTGTCTTTTTGGGATATTGCAATCTCATATTGTGTCTCCAAGAGTAATTTTCTCATTTAATTGCCTAAAATTAAATCTAAAATAGCCAATTATACCAAGGACACCTCTTAGTTAAGATGTTTTTGTGGCGTGTCCTTAGAGACACGTGTCGAGCAAAAGCGTTAAAAAAAACGAAGTCTTCCTCTCTATCGCTTCGTCTCTTCCTCTCTATCGATTCGTCTCTGAATCCACTCGATTGCAGAGATCAACGCACCCTTTCATAAACTCGCCAAAGAGACTCATCCAGAGAGAGAGAAGACGCGAGGAGGAGGAGTATGGAGGTATGAGGGCGGTGGTAGATGGCGAGGGGAGGAGAAAAATACAACATAGGAGGAGTTGTCTCCTACAAAAGAATCACTCTGCTCGTTTGCCTTATCAAGATCCTCATCGCTCTGCTTTTTTTTTTTGCTGATGAGTTCTCTGTTTTTTAAAGCCATGGTCAATTTGCTGTGCTTTTTTTTTTTCGATGAGTTCTGTTTTTTAAAGCTATGGTCAGTTTCTGTATTCAATTATTTTGAGATATATTAGAGTTTATTTGACTGCTTATTGCTGGCTGCAGGAGGATGATAAATATGAATTTGTTGAGTCTATTTGACTGCAACTTGTGGTAGGTTAAAGAGGAAGAACCATCTAAGGAAGGAGAAGAAGAGAAAGAGGTAAGATGTTGTGGTTTTTTAATTTTTGTTTGTTCTGTTATGAGTTGTTAACACACTTGTGTTGATTGGCTTTTTAAATATGTAGTTGGTTCGTGGCAGTTGGGACGGTTGTGGGGACTGTGGTGGCATTTATGTTGGTGCCTATGAGATCACTTGGTCCGGATAACTGGAAAATAGCATCTGCTCTTATGGGCAGCTACATTGGTGGATGTAAGTTGCTTCTTTGGCTTGGTAACACGCTTGTGTTGATCTTCTGGGTTTGAAAAGTTTCTAGCTTTATTGTTGGTTCTTGTTACAGCGCTACTCAAGATCCAAAGAGGCATGCTTCCTGCAGTTACAGCTATCACCATTGTTTTGGCACCTTCTTTCCCTGATTTCTTCAACTCTCTGGCACCTTCTGCTGAAACCATCTCTCTCGTTCTCATGCTGGATATGAAATATGTGAGATGTTCAATTTTGTGTAAACAAGAGAAAGAAAAGAACTAAAAATGGATAAGAAATATGTGAATTTCAAATCTTGTGTTGACCCCAAAATAAAGAAAAAAATATTGAAATGAGGCTGGTCATTCTGGTCAATAGTTAATGATTTTCAAAATTAGTACTAAATCTTTTCTGAAGATTATTGTTATCTTTCCCATATCCTAATTTTGAAAAGTTATAATGATTTTCCGTTTTTAGCTATTAAATGAAACTTTGTTCAACAAACGAAAATCTTCTCTAGAATTATGCTCTTAATTTTCCACGAAAGACAAACCTAAATATTGCCGTGTTTATAGTGACTTAGGCCATCCCCATCCAGGGATCAAAAGAAAAGTTCACATGGTTTCCAAACAAAAAAAATATTAAAATAATCTGATTTTGTTGAATCTACGTCGCGTGAACTCGCTGTAGTGATACTGGATCGTCATTGTTTCTTGGATCCAACGCCACGTGGCAGATCACGATTAGACCATTATTATTTTTTTTTTATTTTTTGAAAAACTCAATCAAAAAAATAAATTAAATAATTAAAACTGGAGCATAGGGAATCGAGCTCTGCGGTTCACCAATGTTAATGCTTCTAGGTGCTTTCCAAAGTACCATATATTTCTAAGGCACCAAATTTATAGTAATCAAGTTTTAATAATTTTTTTTTAAAAAATTACAGATTCTGAAATACCCTACAGCTATATAAGTGTTTTCTAAAGTAAAATATTCAAAGAAATTTTTTTGAGATTTCCATAAAATCTATAGCAATAAAATCTAAAGTTATGGTAAAAAGTCTACAACTTTTTTTCTATAGCAAAATTTTTAAACCTACAGTTATTACCAATCGAGCACTTAGTGGTTGGCGGCGATTCTAGTAGTCGGCCATCCTCATCTTTTTTTTTTCTTTTTGTCTTGTTTGGCTCTAATCTTGTATAGTCTCACATTTGTTTTAACTATGACCAAGTCTGATCTAAGAGCACGATTATCACACTGGTTTCTTAAAAAAGGTTTTTTTTTAGCCTGAATTTTCTTTTTTAAAGTGAACCAATCGCAGGCCACCACGTGTCGATAGGGTCTGCAAACTGTGAAAACTCCTCCTAAGATCGATCCTTATTTCGTAGTTTTGGGAACCGAATTTTGACTTTTTTTGCGGGATCCACGCCTAAAAACTCTTTAAAGTCCCATGTTGATTATGGTCTAAAGTCCGTTTGTTTCTAGAGTGATTTACACTATTAGACAGTTTTCAAGTTTTTATTACATGTTAGGACAGTTTCCACTCCTTAGATAGTTTTAGTGTTAAAAATACATAATTGTCCTCAATTAAATAATTACTTTTTTCAATAATATTTAAGGTCTCTTCTGTGGCTAGACTCTTGTTGTTGCATGTGACCAGACGTGACATGAAATCAATCCATTAAAATCCAATTTATCTTCTGTCTTGTGTCCGATCTCCTCTCTCTACTCCTTTTTTATTTTCTGACAATAAACAAGAATTTTCTCTTGTTCTCTTCACTAATTAAATTTTCTATCTGAAATCACATTTTGTAATTGTGAAAAAGACAACTATCACGGCAGAGGGAAACATATTTCAATGGTCAAGGTTGAGATCTCTTCAAAATCTCGTTCTGAAATTACTATGGTGTTTTGGTTATAATTGGTTAAGACTATAAACTTATAAGAAAATTAATGTTTTGTTGGACAAAACCAATTCATCTATACAATTTTTATGAGTTTTGAGATAAAATCGCCAAAAATGAAAATTATATGAAGAAAGTCAACAGCGGGTCCAAGATGTAGTTGCAGAAATGATTGAACCCTAATATGAAAATGATGGCTTAATTACAAAATTTCCATTCATTTAAAAATTTGAGCATTTGTACAGTAAAACCTCTATAAATTAATAATGTTGGGACTTTGAAATTTTATTAATTTATAGAGATATTAATTTACGAAAGTTTCCTTATTTATTTTTTTTTATTTTTTCCCATTTTTATTTATAAAATAAAAAATATATTTGATTTTATTATTTAAATTTTAGAAATTTGACTTTTATATTGTTTTATTATCTTATTTGGTGTATATTTTTCATAGAATTGTTACACGTTTGAATATAATTTAACTAAATATTATCAAAATAAATGTTAAAAAAATAAAAATATTTTTATATTAGATATAAAACCCCTAACTAAATATTATCAAAATATATTGAAATGTTTAAAAAATAAAAGTACTTTTATAGTAAATATAAAACCAACAATATAATGTTAGATTGTACTTATATAAAATTATATATAGCTAAATTATTAATTTATGATTTTAGTGGGACCATATATGTACATGGCAATTTTAAAAATATTATTATCTTATTATTTTATCGATTTGTGTCATATTTTACACCGGCCCAAGTTGGGACCGGTGCAATTTATTAATTTATAGAGATTATTAATTTATCGAGTATTAATTTATAGAGGTTCTACTGTACATTATATTTGTGTCCACGAGTACAATGAGTGAAATGTGTACACAATGTCATTGTGTCACTTCAAGATATTTGAAAAAAAAATTATACATGAGGAGTAATGTGGACAAACGAACTCTAATACTTGATATTTGGAACATAGGGCAACACAAAGAAGAGAAAATCCTTATGTACATTGTTTAAACATTGTTTGCAATGTGTTAACATTGGTGTAAGTTATGGACATTGTAGTGGCTTGGTTTTTCAAGTGAAAAAACAAAAAAAAAAACGTATTTAAGAACGTGTACACAAGCATTTAGGTATACAATACAAATATGTGTGCGCATGTACTTTAAGAATATAGTGTATGCATGTACTTTAAAAATATAATGTACACATGAATGGTCTATACGGGTAACATTTTTTTTAAAAAAGAACCTGCAAATGTACAAAGGATTCATATACACATAACATCAAAAAGTTTTAAAATGAAAACTAGAACAAAAACATTTATGATGTTGCAAATTTACAAAAGAATTCAAATATGCATATGTACATTATTAACGTGTACACTGATTTGTATAATCATTTTAGGTTGTATTCAGGTATTCTTGCATTACATACATAATTACATAAAAATCAGAGGTTGGTGTGCTCATTTAAAAGTTTGAGGCCGAATTTTAGGAGATACATGTATCATTTAGGAGTTCGGGATTAAATTGATAATAATTGAAACCGCAAAGGACCAAACTTGCAAAAAGAGGAATTTCACCATTGTTATCCAAGCTTTCAATTTACGATAGAAAAGACTCACGGCGAAGACTACGGACGGTCATAGCCGTGTGTCTTAGCAACACGGAATGATACATAGGTGATTGATGATAGATGAGGCAGCAACAAAAAAAAATCTGGTGTTGAGGATCTTGACGCAAAGATGAATCATGGAGGAGATATCTCTGTCCTCACTGCTGTGGTCGTCATCTCCACCGTCATCATCCTCGTCTCTGTCCCCATTTTCTTCTTCTCCTGGTTCTATATGAGGCCGACTAAGGGCTCCTAAGTCGAATTCTATTGTCATCTTTTTTTCATCTTAATCTTGATCTTCTTTTCACATGATTTGTTTATAGAAGAAAAAAGTTATAAGAAGTGGACGAAGAAAAAAAAATAGTAGATAAGGAAAGAGAAAGAAAAAAAAGAGAATTGATTTGTGGCCACATAAATTAAGAGATAATAGGAAAATGATAGCAATGAATTTTCACACACTGTAAATATGAGAGAAAGTGTTGTAATGAGATAAAAAGTGTTTAGTAGCACAAACTGACTTATGATGTAAAATAAACTCATAAACTGCATTTGGGTGTAATTCTTTCTTGTTTCTATTTTCTCTTTGTTTATTTCTCAATCTTCTAATCTGTTGTATGTTTATTTTATACTTTATGATCTTCTATGTCAGAAAACTATTGTTTGACACTATAGAAAAAAAGCTCATTTGCAAGAGAAAATTATGGGGAATTTTTTTCATGCAAATTTACAATCCATTTACAATGTAATTGTCTGGAACCATATAATCCTTGAAAATTCACGAGGAAACTTTTCTCTCGAAAATTTGCGAAGGATTTTCAAGGGAATTTACAGAATCTTCGCAAATTTGCGAGAATTATATATGTCATTTTTATTTCTTTTTAATTCTTTCGTAAATTTTTGATGGATTTGCAAGAGACTTGCCTTGTATGTATAGTATATTGCAATTTTATTGCAAAATCTATCTTTCTGGAATTTGGATGGTGTGATTTTCATCAAGGATTTTGATGTCGGATAATAAATTTTATTGAATTATTTAGTGTTTAAAATTTAAATCAACAAATGTTTTCGGAAATTTAATCAACTATAGTTATGAACTTAATTCCCGGAACTACTACTACGAAGTACTTAACATTTAAACTTTATAACTTATGTAATTAATATACGTCAACTAAATTTCTGGAAAATGTTAAACGTATTTTCACATAATTTTTTTTTGAAACATGATATATAAAATACATACAGTCCGAAAACGCAACAAAACCTCAAACAAAACCCTAAAATACATTGACATGGATTTTCAAATCCCTTGCAAATCCATCTTTCCAGATTTTGAACGGTTTGGGTTTCATTAAGAATTTTGGTGTCGGATAATACATTTTATTGAATTGTTTAGTATTTAAAAAGTAAGTTAAAAACATTTTCAGAAATTTAATCTATCATGGTTATGAACTTAATTCCCGGAACTACTATTACAAAGTACTTAACATCTAAACCTTATAACTTATGTAATTAATATACGTCAACTAAATTTCTGAAAAATGTTAAACATATTTTCAGGTAAATTGTTTTTTTAAGCCAAATACATAAATACATATAGTCTGAAAACAAAAACACAAAACCTCAAATAAAACCCTAAATTATATTGACATGGATTTGCGAGGAACCTCACATTTCCTTTGTAAATTTGTGAGGATGCAAATTCCCTCGCAAATTTGCAAGGGATTTGCGAGAGATCCCTTGCGATTCCTTGCAAATC